CACATGATTTGGACACAAGTAATCAATTTGCTCTTCAATTGTTAATCGAGAGGTATATAACACTTATATTTAAGAGCTTTTGATTAATTCCCTTTTTATTGGTTAGAAATAATGTTTTCTTAGATTTTTCTATTAAAACAATTGTTTATATCATTAATACATTTCTTAAACAACTACTAAATAAGATAGAAGTTAATATCACAAATATATACAATTAATAAAAGTGTATCAAGATTTAATTAAAATATTGTTTTATTAGTCAAACTGTGACTCAAACATATCAAAAGTATATAATACTGGCGTCAATATTAAGTGCAATTATGGCCATAATTTTGGTCACTCTTCTGGCGGTCCTTACTTTAAGCTCAGGTAACGTTTCATAAACATAATGTGATCAATGATCATGTTTATATTGATTTGCTAGATATGCAAAGTATATGTTATGTAAAGTTTGAATAGAAGTGTTAAATACTGTAGAATTGTTTTAATGTTTTAATCATTTTATAATCTGACAACAGCTTCGCCATTGAAGAAGGACTATGTTGGACCTAGATGTTTTACCGATTCTTGCATATCATCAGGTTTGAAATAATTAGTGTAAATGTTGTGAACCAAAATCAATGGTATATTGCAATCTAAATAGCGGGCTATCTATCGAGTTCAATGGACTTTTCAGTGAACCCTTGCGATGACTTCTATCAGTTCTCGTGTGGCAAATGGCAAGAAGACCATCCCTTCCCCGCAAACCTCGACGGTTGGGATTATTTCCAAAAGCTATTATACTCTATGCGAACAGACCTGAGAAGTATTTGATTCACGTTTCCTATCATTAATGCTTATAATTAAAATAAATTGTAATGTTTTTCTCAACAGAAATATTGGACAACACGACAACCATTGGAAAAGATGAGCCAAAAGCTATGTCTAAATTGTATGACTTTTATAATGGATGTGTCGATGAATGTAAGAAAATGTTTATATAAAATGAAAGTAATTTAAAGAAAATGTTTGATTTAATGAATGTTATTAACGATCGGACGGATAGCCAAACGTAATTCAAAGGGATATTCATCGTTAATCGACAGAATTAAAGCGATCGGTGGCTGGCCTTCAGTGGATCCCCAATGGAGTGAAGAGTCGTACGACTGGGAGGAAGCGATCGTTAAATTAGTCAAACTTAATGTTTTCCCTATCATTGACTTTCAAGTAGTAATGGATGCAAAAGACTCATCACATCCTATGATTGAAGTGAGTTTTGAACGGGTTTTACATTAAATCAATAAAATATACCAAATATTATTCTTTATAACATTTTTCAAGTTAAGTATTACTTGAATTTAATGACAACTTGGCTTTTAAAATGCTTTTAATTATAGCATAGACTCTCTCTCTCTCTCTCTCTCTCTCTCTCTTATTGCTATAACTCTCAGAGCCTTTACTCGTTGCGAAATGCGGTCCAATCTATATATTTAAATAAAAAATATTTTAATTAATTGCTTTATTGCCTTTAATTAAAAATTTCATTAATATTTACTCTCTCCTCTCTAATGAATAGTCCATAATATTAGACGAGATATAATTTATTTTAGTTATTTTGCCTTTAATTTAATTAAATTTTCAATTATGACTTTTAAATAAAGTGCTTCAACCGCTGTTTAAGTGCTGCTAAAAATATTAATGAAATTTTTAATTAAAGGCAATAAAGCAATTAATTAAAACATTTTTTATTTAAATATATAGATTGGACCGCATTTCGCAACGAGTAAAGGCTCTGAGAGTTATAGCAATAAGAGAGACAAACAAAATACTATACAATTTGAAAACGCAAACAATGCGAACGAAGACCAGTATTTGAATATAGTTAAGACATTTATCCAAATGATATACAATAACAAAGTGGTGGTCAATGAAACTGAATTATTAGCCGATTTAAGCGCAACAACACAAATGGTGACCAAATTTCAAAACGCAAAAACTAAGACAATTTCCACCGATTATTATATGAAACATTACAATGAATTTAAATTCAAAGTTAAGGATCTCTCCGTAATATATCCCACATTTCAATGGGAAAGTTTGTTGAGAAAGATATTTCCCAATTTGGGACCGGAAGACACTATATTTATTCCGGACATTAATTTTGTGCACAAATTCCCGGAAATTATTCGCACAACTGAAAAGAGGTATACAAACAGATAATAGACTTTCTTAATAGCATTATATCTAATGATAATAATTGTGTGTTTCAGAGCGCTGGCCAACTATTTCGCAATAATAACCATCACAAATCTGGGTGAACACACAACGACCAAGATGTATGAATTTATTAATGATGAGAAATTAGACGCACCGGAAATACTGCCAAACATATGTTACGGCTATTTGAAGGACTTGTTGCCCGATCTGTTGGGCCGTCTCTTTGTGGACAAATATTTTAGCCCCAAATACGTGCGCGAAATGAATGGATTAACACAATTAGTTCAAAAGTCATTTTTAAAATCCATTACTGAAAATGAATGGATGGATACACAGACAAAGGCAGAGGCGATGAAAAAAGTGGATTATATTAAACATAAGGTCGCTTATCCCGAGTGGACAATGCGTGACCATTTGCTTCAAGAATATTATCAATCGGTATTAATTGATTAATTAGTTATTTATGTTTTCAATTAAAATTGATTGACTATTAATTTGATTCACAGTATAACGACATATCGATCGACAACTACTTTACATCGGCGGCCAATGTTATGGAAGCGAAGCAAATGCAAGATCTCTCGCAAATTAATAGTAATTTTGCCGCTAAATCAGAGCTACAGTAAGTATTTGTCACATTATATAATTGTTATTTCTGTTAGTTTATTGTGTTATTCATATAAATATCAATATAGCAAAATATTATGAGATAAAAAAACAATTTATTTTAATATAAATTTTTGTAATAATAAGTGTTTTTCAATTTCTATATGTTATCTAAATGTGAAGAATCATAGATAACTGGTCGTCAAAGAGTGCCTTCGATGTGAACGCATTCTACATATTCCAGGAAAACGCTATTTGTAAGTGAAATACAAATCCAATTATTTTATTATCGCTTTTTCTCTCTTTTTCGCAATAAAATGAGTATAAAATGCCATTTGAATGCATTTGAAGGCAAAAGAATTAAATCAAATTTGCATTGAATTTTGTTGCTTTGATTTTTTTTCTCTCGGAAACACTCGATGTTTTACTTTATAAGTTGATTAAAGTAATAGTAAACATTTCTATTA